CATGAAGGCACAGGATGGAGGAGCTGGCTGCTGCCCATCCTTTTCCCAAGAAGGGAGCTTTTAGCCACCCTTCCCCCAGCCCTGGGCCTGCAGATGCCCTCCCCCCAGACAGGCCACCTCCCAGGGACTAAGGACAGGCTCCTTCCTCCCTGGGCTGGGGTCCCAGCGCCCCTTGCCGTTCCCATCTTCCTAGATCCTCGCCCAACCTTGTTCTCCCCCCAAGCAGGACTTGAAACCCCAGCCTGGCCCTTCAGACTTCTCCTGACACATGTGGAAACACACAGGATGTAACTTGGGAACAGCTGGAAAAAGTAAGCAATCTGTAACAATCGTGTAAGCAGAAGGGCCTGCAGAGGCTTCTGAAAGGGTGTGGGAGCAGGGGGTTAGGACAGACTTTAAACTTGTAAAGAGTTTGGTCCACTGAAGAGCCCAACCAGAACTTGGAAAACCTCAGAAGAGAAAACTGAGAAACTTTACCAAAGACCGTTAGAGAATGCCCTTGAGCACCCTGCCGGTGGGTAGAAAATTCCAATGTAATATTCAATGCCAGCTCTCCCAAAATTAATGTGTGATTTCAGCATACTCTCAGCCAAAACCCCAAGATCATTTTGCACAGAATTTGACGAGCTGCTTCACATGAAAGGGAAAAAGCACAATCAGGACAATTGTGAAAAAAAAATTGAAACAACGAAGGAGGTATATTCCATATGTAAATATTTATAAAGCAATGGTAAATGAGAGCTGCTGTAGGTTAGGAACAGGTACCAAACTGGAATAGACCAGAAGCCAGAGACAACCCTGCACATATATAGGAATTAGTGTAAGATAGAGGAAGCACTTCGTGAGTGGAGAAATGAACGATTTAATAAATGGTGTTGGGAAATCCATTTGAGAAAAACTGAATTTAGATGGAATTCCTTCCTACTGTGTACATCAGTAAGTTCTCTATGCATTAGAAACCTAAACAGACTAAAATTATAAATGTATTAGATAAAATATAACAATCTGTTTATAACTTTGGATTAGCAAAGCCACCTTTTTTTAGGATTTATTGTTACTGCAATTGGACCCACAATACCTGTATTTCTTTTTCTTTTTTTAAATAAAATACCTTTATTTTAATTTTTTTTATTTTTATATGGTGCTGAGAATTGAACCCGGGCCTTGCACATGCTAGGCGAGTGCTCCACCCCTGAGCCACAACCCCAGTTCCCCTTTATTTCTTTCATGTGGTGCTGAGGATGGAACCCAGAGCAAGCGCTGTACCACTGAGTCACAACCTCATACCAGCAAAGCCACCTTTTAAAAACCACAAAAAGAAAAATATAAAGAAGATAAACACATTTGGCAATACCGAAATTTCGTTCTTTTATAAACCAAGGTACCATGGGGCACGGGATGCAGCTCAGCGGTAGAGCGCCTGCCTAGCATGCTGAAGGTTCTGGATTCAACCCCCAGAATCACCAAAAAAAGAAAGAAAAAGAGAAATCCAGAAATAAATGAGAAATAAAAAATTTTCCCCTATCCTCTGATCACCATTCACAAAGGTGGGCAGCTTAAAATGGGAATTCTCCTCAAGAAATGGGCTGGGAGAGGGCCAATTACAGTCTCCAAAACACAGGTACAGACAGGGAGGTGGACCGGGGTGTGGCTCAGTTCTAGAATGCTTGCCTAACATTCTGGAAGAACGCAA